AAAATGGGTCTATGCCTATGTACGTGATAAAACAAACATATATAACTACTTCTATTACAATTCATTTTATCTACCCGTACAAGCACATGCCTTCGAGTCTTTATAACTTGTAAAAATTACCCATACGAGTATGGGCCTTTTGCATCGAACGGTTCTCCAACCTAGATCTAATCTCTATCGATACAAAAAATTAAAATTTTACAAATCATAACTAAAGAGACTCGCAGGTCTCGATAAATTACAATAACTCAATCATATTGAATAAAAGTACAACATTCAATCTCATTGAACAAGAGACTCAAAGGTCTCGTTTACATTCATTCAATCTCATTGAAAATAATGCAATCATTCATCCATTCAATCATATTGAATAAAATGCAACATTCAACCATTCAATCAAATTGAATAAAATGCAACCATTCATCATTATGAATAAAAGGCTCATGATCATCCTTAAATCACTCATTCATCACATGAATTCAACATATAATTTATTCACTAATTTAATATGTTGATGTAGTAATGACTTATCTTAAGTCAAAATAGCTCGTTTCTGATCAAAAAACAGCCACACGACTCGTGTAGCAAGCCACACGACTCGTGTGGCATGTCACACGACTCGTGTGGCATGTCACACGACTCGTGTGACTTACTCACACGACTCGTGTGACAAAGTCGAAACTAACTTTCAAAATTATGGAAAGAAAGCAGACTCACACGACTCGTGTCACATTTCACACGAGTCGTGTGAAGTCACACGACTGGTCACACGACTCGTGTGACTCCTCACACGGGTCGTGTGACCCCACACGACCTCTCACACGAGTCGTGTCACCTTGCACGACTCGTGTTTTCGAATACTCTATTCGATTTTTTTTAGTCCAGATCGTGTTTTTAATAATTTTTCAAATCAAAATCTGATTTTAAAGATGCTAATCGAACCTGGCTCTGATACCACTGTTGGGTTCGATATACCCGTACGGAACAAATAATGCAGCAGAATTAAAAAATTTTATAAGTATTTATCTCATAAATACTTATTCCGTACATAAGTATAATGATAGAACGAATAAGCATCATTTAAAATCTAGTAACTTTTACTAATTTTGATTTGAAATATAATTTTAAATCTAAAATTACCGTTGATCTTGAACTCCTTCAAAATCTAAGATAGATTGAGGGAATCGATTCCCGGATTGGTAACGTCACTTCACTTCTTTCTTGTGCTTGTGGTTACTCGCTTAGGAATCCACTTGTCTTCCCTCTAAACGTATCCA